GAGAGAGACCAGAGAGAGACCAGAGAGAGACCAGAGAGAGAGACCAGAGAGAGACCAGAGAGAGAGCTCTGACATTTTAAACATATTTGTTCCGTGACTATGTTTCTGGAGGATGGAGATTTCAGATCATAAATGTGGTGAGCTTTATCTTTGTGGCTCGCTGCGTGCTCATTGGCCGGTGACTCAGATGGTCCGACAGAAGCTCCGCCCCCTCAGCAGAGTGGGATACACATGTGTACTGGGTTATGTATGCATGAGGGGACGCAGCAGCTGATCCACACACAAATACACACACACATACACACACACACACACACACACACACACACACACACACACACACACACAAACACAAACACACACAGAGACAAAAACACACACACGTACACACTCTTCACCTGTTCGGCTGGAATCTATAATTTATGAGAAAATAAACGTTAAATGGATTAATGAAAGCACAGTGACTGGACTAGAGACCAGACTAGAGACCGGACTAGAGACCGGACTAGAGACCGGACTACAGACCGGAAAGAGACAAGAACATTTCGATCATATTTTTCACAATGACAACTTTATAAAGGAAAAAGCAGCACCAGTAACAGCCCAATCTCTGACAGTGGAGGCTTCACTCCCCCGAACACAGCTCCACGGCTCGTTACGAAGTCAGTTTTCTCCAGTATGTGTCCAAAAACCCGGTAATCACCATTTAAACCCATTTGGATCTCTCCGTGGCTTTGAGGCATTTCCATAATTTATGTTTTTCCTTTAGTCCAACTCTGCAGAAAACCCTCCGTCAGACTCTGGATCTAAAGCCTGAGTTTGCAAAAATACAAAGTGCAAAACGATTTCAGCCATTAGTCACCACAAGAGCCATAAATGTCTTCCTGGTGTCTCTCTCCTATAGTAAAATACTGAAGCCCATGGCCCTTCAGCTTCCTGTTTCATGGAGAAGATGCAGTATTTCTGTTGTGTTGTTTCTCGTCACTCAGAGCCCCATGAGCAGCCCTACACGTGAGCGGATTGTCCCAGTGTAGGTGTGCCTCCCCTGGGTTGTTCTTTTGTCCTCCCCTTGTCTTTGGCCAGTTCCCATCAGCTGTTCTTACTGCCGCTTATGCAACCGTCTAACTTTACAACCGGCTTTTTCCAAATCTTCTCTTTCCTTCATTGCTTCCCGTAGTTCGGGTTAGGGTTCGCTTTCATCACAAGTCAGATATTCAAGACAAATTCAAAACTCCTCGTTATTGGGAGAATATACACAAAGCAATAATGAGATCGATTCAATAATAATGCATCAGCTTTATACAGCGCTTTCTTAGGCGCTCAGACCGTTCAGCTGCCCTGGGGCACACTGACGGACGCGAGGCAGCTGGTATGTGCCATAGGTCCTTCTGACCAACTCCAACCATTCACACCAGACTCATTCTAAGACAGCACTGTAGCACCTGGTGTTCCCAGAGGTCTCCCATCATACTGACCAGACCCTGCCCTGCTTAGCTTTAGAGTTCTGTCGAGATCTTGCTTTAACCTGCAGGTTTGTCAGTTTTCAGTTTCAAAAATAGTTTAATCCTTCTAAAAACAGCCAGAAATGTTGATTGTCCTGTTTAAGAAAGTGAATTCATTTTGAACGTCAAACATACTAGAGTGAGCGGATTAATCATCAAAAACATGTGAGGACTATTCGGTTTTGTATTCAGATTTATGCAGCTAAAATCTGGAACAGTCTTCCTGAAAATGTGAGACAGGCTTCTCCCACTGTCTCTGACAATGTTCAAATCCAGTTGTGTTTACCGGTGCTGTGATTATTCATGATTTGATTGTATAATTGTGTCTTGTTTTGTCAGCACAGATCTGGGTGAAGTCGGTGTGAAGCCTGTTCCCGTTCCCTGAAGTCTGAAATTTCCATGAATTGGATCAAAACCGGTTTTGCTGCAAGATTCTGGTTTCCGGCAATATCCGAGTCCTTCAGAAGCTTCTAGAACCGATCCAGCATTCACGAAAAGACAGGAAAACACCGCAGCTCTCACTTCAGAGAACATCCAGAGTTATTTCTACAGATGTCCTGGTTTTCACATGTGCTGGATTCAAAGAAAATATAAATTAGTTTTATACGGATCATTTCATACACAGGGGAACTCAAAGTGCTCACAACAAGAAAAGAAAAGACAATAATTACAGTACATTAGTGTTCAGATTTTTACTCCACCTGAAGACCTGGAGCAGGGGTGTCCAACCTGAAGCTCGGGAGCCACCAGTAGCTCGCCAGCCCCTTACAGGTAGCTCGCCAAAGGAATCAGAATTTAACAAATACACTATAAATATGGGGATATACAGTATTATGGTGTATTTTATGTGTTCTCTGAGTTTGGTCGTAAATATAGATCGATTTTTATTACGACTGCAAAAAGGAGTAGCTCTCTGCCTGTTTGTTTGTATAAAGTAGCTCTCCGAGACCCAGACCTGGCGGTAAAGAGCCCTACACAACCCGACCTTTTGTTAACCAATGTTTTGGGCAGTTACACAAGCCAGACTACTTTCACAAATGGTAGAAAATATTTTTGAATTTTAAGCGAGAAAGAGTGTTGTACGGTAAAGCAAGAGATTAACGGCTTATTCCATTGGCTAATTATTTTTTCAACAGTCAAAACATACAATATTATCAAAATAGATTACGGATTTTTGCGGCACCCAGCCTCCGCAGAGTGGCTGCTCCCGTAGAGATAGAGGAGCCCAGTCATACGGGACGAGCTTCGGGTAGAGCCGCTGCTCCTTCATGGTGAGGAGACTCGGGCATCTGTTTGGGATGCCTCCTGGTCTCCTCTCTGGGGAGGTGCTCTGTCCCACGAGGAGGAGATTCTTCCAGATGAGACGAAGTGTGTGTGGATAAGAAAACACACCAACGAAGAAAGAGCATCACATTTTTGAGCAGAACTGGTGTCTCTCTCTCTCTTTGGTCTCTCTCTGGTCTCTCTCCGGTCTCTCTTTGGTCTCTCTCTGGTCTCGCACTGATCTCTCTCTGGTCTCTCTCCGGTCTCTCTCTGGTCTCTCTCCGGTCTCTCTTTGGTCTCTCTCTGGTCTAGCACTGATCTCTCTCTGGTCTCTCTCTGGTCTCTCTCCGGTCTCTCTTTGGTCTCTCTCTGGTCTAGCACTGATCTCTCTCTGGTCTCTCTCCGGTCTCTCTCTGGTCTCTCTCTGGTGTCTCTCCGGTCTCTCTCTGGTCTCTCTCTGGTCTCTCTCCGGTCTCTCTCTGGTCTCTCTCTGGTCTCTCTCTGGTCTCTCTCCGGTCTCTTTCCGGTCTCTCTCTGGTCTCTCTCTGGTCTCTCTCCGGTCTCTCTCCGGTGTCTCTCTGGTCTCTCTCTGGTCTCTCTCCGGTCTCTTTCCAGTCTCTCTCTGGTCTCTCTCTGGTCTCTCTCCGGTCTCTCTCCGGTGTCTCTCTGGTCTCTCTCTGGTCTCTCTCTGGTCTCTCTTCGGTCTCTCTCTGGTCTCTCTCTGGTCTCTCTCCGGTCTCTTTCCGGTCTCTCTCTGGTCTCTCTCTGGTCTCTCTCCGGTCTCTCTCTGGTCTCTCCGGTCTCTCCGGTCTCTCTCTGGTCTCTCTCTGGTCTCTCTCTGGTCTCTCTCTCTGGTCTCTCTCTGGTCTCTCTCTGGTCTCTCTCCGGTCTCTCTCTGGTCTCTCCGGTCTCTCTCTGGTCTCTCTCTGGTCTCTCTCTGGTCTCTTTCCGGTCTCTCTCCGGTCTCTCTCTGGTCTCTCTCTGGTCTCTCTCCGGTCTCTCTCTGGTCTCTCTCTCTGGTCTCTCTCTGGTCTCTCTCTGGTCTCTCTCTCTGGTCTCTCCGGTCTCTCCGGTCTCTCTCTGGTCTCTCTCTGGTCTCTCTATGGTCTGTGAAGTCTGTATCTCTTCTCAGACTACAGATAAAGTGCTTCCACTGTATCTGTGGATGGATGTATAGATTTTTACATTTGCAGTTTGCCTCTCTATCATTTGTGCCGGTTCAGATGTGGTTCTCCTCAAGCCTGAGTTTAGAATTGGTTTATACGTGTTGTATTCTCAGTCTCCTGTTGATAATTTAGTCCTGGTTCATTCTCACATTTCCCCCTCATTCCCCATCACAACACTATGTTCCATCCATCTCATTCATAAACTCACCCAGGCGTACAGGGCTGCTCCCTCATTGGCTGGTTCTGTCAGGTAGCCCCCAATCGATGGCTGTGATTGGTCCACGGCGCCGCGCTGATGCAAGCTGTGACTCATGGTTCTATTTTCTGATCCAATTTCAGACGTTGACCTTTCGATGACGTCGGCGGCCGAAGGTTTTGTTGATGCTTTTTGCTGCAAAATGTGAGACAAGATATTCTGCTCATTGTACGTGTTAATTCTGTCCGACTAATGACCAAGTTCCTATTCAAGAAAGAATTCAAGCATGAAGGCCAATCGTTATGTGTGATTACAGGATGAGGGACTGACCAGACGGCACACGTCAATGAATAATAATGATCTATGGTGTCATTCCCAAACTGTGGGCCAGGGCCCAACACCTGCCAGAGGGTTCCCCAAAGCAGTTCAAACTTGTGTAAGTTAGATTTTATATTATCTGTAAGCAATTGTTTTACTTTACTGGTTAGCATAACTGTGTGTTTGATTATAGTGGTTTAAACCTGTTGTTTTACTTCAACTGAGCTTCGCAGGTGAGCAGCGTTATCGGTTGGTAGTATTTAAAGCTAAAATCTAAACAAAACATATACAAATAAAAACGAAAGCAGATTTAAAAACTGTCACATGAACAACGTCACGAGAGTCACATGTTGTAACTTTCAAAGGATCATTGTGTGAACAATGTAATGTACCTTTCCCAAACCACAGTGTGGATGTGTCTTCAGTGTCATAAACTGTGTACGGACCTCATGGAGGACAGGTTCATCTGTATTAAATCATGAATGTTTGTATAGGCTGCTGAGGAGGGACCAGAGGAAGGACAGGGACATGCTTCTGCACCAGGAGCCTCTGCCCTCAGTGAGCACTGCCCCTGAGCCACATGCACAGGTGATGACTTTTGAAGAGCCTGAAAATCCTGAGGGAGAAGCTTTCCCCGCCAGAGAACTGTAGCAGGACACATCCAACCTGTGCCTTATCCACCACCTCCCCCTTTCCCTCCACAATATGGACCAGCTCCTCAGCTGCAGCACCCTCCTCCATTCCCCCATGTTCCTCCACATCTGCACCCTCAGTATCCTTATCCTCCTCCATTCCCCCATGCTCCTCTGTGTCCCGAGGCTCCTCCGCTGCAGCAGCCTCCAGCAGGCCTTCCTTCTTAGCCAGTGCATGGAGGCTGAATAACGCTGCAGGAGGATGAGGAGCGAGTGTGAAAGGGCGAACCACCGAAGAAGAGGTTAGCCAAAGAGAAGTACTACATCTGCAAACAGTGTGGAGCAAGACCACAGGACACACCCAGGTGAAGGGGCGGTGGTACTGTCCGGCCTCAGGTCTGACCCTGGAAGACTGGAGGAGGAGCCTCAACTGAAAACTGTTTGATATTGTCTTAATTATCTTTTCTGTGAATAATTATTTAATATTATATTGTACTGTGTTTCAGGTGTTTGTTTTACCATATTTATCATCTTAGATCTCTTTCTCTTTGTCTGTGTGTGTGTGTGTGTGTGTGTGTGTGTGTGTGTGTGTGTGTGTGTCTCTCTCTGTATCTATCTCTCTCTCTCTGTGTGTGTGTCTCTGTGTGTGTGTGTGTGTGTGTGTGTGTGTGTGTGTGTGTGTGTGTGTGTGTGTGTGTGTGTGTGTGTGTCTATCTCTGAAAAACTGAAGCCAGATACACTTCATATTTATTCTCCAAACTCAACACATCCACAGTTATACTGTGAACACATGGTTTTGTTTACACTGCCACCTGGTGGGCCACAGGAACGTCCAAAGTGCTGTGTTACTTTGGGAGGTAGTGGGATCGAATCCCACAAGAAACATAAAGATTGAAGTGATCTTGCATTAAGTGTTGAAATGTAAACATGAGAGAGAATATAATGGAGAAGAAAAACGTGTAGTGTACATTCTACTCCTTTTTTCTCATTTTCTTTTTCTCCTTCCTGTCTCGGGTGGAGTCTGTCGTCTGGAGATGATGTGATACTGTATGGATGTAATGTTTATTTATATACCGCCTTTCACAGACCAGAGTCACAAAGCAGTTTACAATTGTGTTTTGGGCACTTGTCCTCTCACTCCACACAGAGATGGAGCAGGGTCGCCGAACAGGAGGCGCATGCCAGATCTATTGTATATATTTTTAGTGGTAGGGGAAACCGGAGTACCCGGAGGAAACCTACCCAGACATGGGGAGAACATGCAAACTCCACTCAGAAAGGCCCTCGTCCGACCGGGATTCGAAACCAGGACTTTCTTGCTGAGAGGCGAGAGTGCTAACCACTCAGCCACCGTGCTGATGATGTATGAATGTATGAATGTATGAATGTATGAATGTATGAATGGATGAATGTATGAATGTATGAATGGATGAATGTATGAATGTATGAATGGATGAATGGATGAATGTATGAATGTATGAATGGATGAATGTATGAATGGATGAATGTATGAATGGATGAATGTATGAACGTATGAATGGATGAATGTATGAATGTATGAATGTATGAATGGATGAATGGATGAATGTATGAATGTATGAATGGATGAATGGATGAATGTATGAATGGATGAATGGATGAATGTATGAATGTATGAATGGATGAATGTATGAATGTATGAATGGATGAATGTATGAATGGATGAATGGATGAATGTATGAATGTATGAATGGATGAATGGATGAATGGATGAATGGATGAATGTATGAATGGATGAATGGATGAATGTATGAATGTATGAACGTATGAATGGATGGAAAACAAATGCAACATCTGCCAAACCGTGAGAGGGCAGCCTTAAGCCTTACGGTGGAAGCATTCGAACACGAAGAAGAACACTTCCGGTTTACGGTACCCGGAAGCGCTGCACAAACTCCAGCCTGTCATCATTCAAGCTTTTATTTTAATGACTGTAGATTATTCTGACAACTTTAACATCGTGTAAACACCGGACTGACGCCATGGCGGCCCAGCTCCCCGCGTGTGTGGTGGACTGTGGCACGGGGTACGGACTACAATAAGCTTCTTGTTAGCATTAGCTCCATTAGCTCCATTAGCTTCATTAGCTTTAGCTCTACACGTACACAGGCACAAGCAGCTAACGCCCTGGAACACTACTTTCCTCTCACACTCAAGCTTTTTATATAAAACATACACATATTCTATTAAGCCACAGTGAACAGTTGGAAGTTTATTCTCCATTTATAGTTTTATTTCTGATTAGCAATGAATGTAGCCTGCTAAAGCTAACGAGGCTTCCTGTCTGTCAGAACTTCTCTATTTGTACAATAAGGGACATTTCGTGTTAATTTATAGTTATTAGAAAGACTAAAGCAACTGGCCAACAGGAAAAAATACACACATTTTTTTAAAGTTGTTTTTCTAGCCAAACTTTGAAAATGAACTATAGAATTAGACTTATTTATTTAGATTATTATGGAGTAAAATGTGTTGGACGAAGCAGACACTAAGTTCCAACCTCTCTCACACACAACATGAGTATTACTTTCACTCCCTGTTTTGTAATTATTAAATCCAGTGATTCTTGCAGGTACACAAAGCTTGGTTATGCTGGAAACACGGAGCCGCAGTTTATCATTCCTTCATGTGAGTAACACACCAACTTCCTGTTTTTAGAATATTTGTATAATTTCACCTCAGCCTTGTGCCAGGATTAACATAGGGGCGGGCGATATGAACAAAAATAATTATCCCAATGTTTGTTTCCCAACTCCCGATAACGCTATTGTCACAATATCTTTGAAATTAATCATTTTTACACAAAACGATCTGCAATGTTAATCAAAAAAGTGAAATAGCAAACATGCACAAACCTATATTAACATTAAAAATCAAATTCAAGCAACACAAGAAAGAACACTTCCAAAAAGGCTTGCTCCATATTTTCTGAAATTTACAAATAAATTGGCGCTTTATTTGACGAATGGGCCTCTTGCCTGCTCTAATTGGATGCAAACTTAAGATGATAGATTGTTTTTCCTTTCTTCTTTGTGACGATCTAAAAACAAAAATTGTATAACTACTTGCATAAGACATTGGCAGCTTTACTGTCTATGTTTTGTAAATACTCTGGGATAGGCGCAATAAGCTTTAGCTTCTGCCTATTCCATTTCAGACTTTGTTTATTTATCATCTGTTTGGCATCTGTTGAATGTTTGAATGTCTGAATAAAATAATCTGAATCTGAATCTAATTGTAATGTGTATTGAAAAAAGACGATAATACAAAAATGCACATCTTCAAATTCACTTTCCCGATATTATTGTCTACGATATATTTTGCCCACCCCTAGACTTACATCATCTTCATCAGGGATAAGGCTGCTGGTATTGTCAATTGTTAGTTGTAAGAAATATTTGAACTCACTCATGCACTCTGACTCCCAACCTGCCTCTAAATTGGCAATACACTTTGAGCACTCTTATGCCGTTTTTCCACAGTCCGAGTACGGTACGTTTTGACTCTACACGGCGCGCCATGGCCCAGTTCGCGTGCTTTTCCATCAAAAATAGTACCCCTAGTATGTCCTCAGCGTTGTCAGACCACGTCATTTACGTGTGACGCGTAACTAGTACTGCTGCGTGCATGGATTTATTATAATACCAGAGCAAGTGTTTAATAGAACATTCAGCACAGCACGAGTAGTTTTTGAAAATGCTTCTGTCTTAAAAGAATGACTCAGAAACTGTGAAGTCAATGGTGCTGACTGCTCTGTACAATCTGAATGGGACCTTTTATAATGATCCATGTGGCAGGTATCGCAATCAAAGAGTCTGCTAAAGTGGGGGACCAGGCCCAGCGCCGGATGATGAAGGGAGTGGATGACCTGGACTTTTTCATCGGGGACGAGGCCATAGAGAAGCCCTCCTACTCCACCAAGGTGCTCCAGCTGCTCTGTGCCAGTGACGATCACAAATGCTTTTTTTAAGAGAGTTAAAATAGCTTGAAGTACAAAATGAATTTTCCAGTTTTCAGATTGTTTTGTATCCTTTTGAGTCCTATGGTCTGTCTGTGGAAGTGATCCCTCTGTCAATGTGGGCCTTCCTGTAGTTTCTACCTTTTTCCCCCACTGGGATTGTTTTTGATTGGTTCCTTGCCGATGCAGGAGGGTCTAAGGACAGAGATGACCCGGGACATTTATTAACATTAATGGGCAGTGGTCATCCCGCTTTCTATGGACCAATATTTCCTGTCTATTTGTCTATTGAACGGTTTGATTCTCTGATCTGTTGTTGGCGAATCGACAAAGATGCCACAGGTTGTGATTTAGCACAGTACAAAGATAAATATAATTGAATTATAAGTTAGTCATATGATTATATTGGGAGTTTAATATTCTTGGATTATTTTCTCTGTATTTTAAATTGCAATAAACAGAACTATTGTTGACGGTTGTCTGCGGCAGTGGCCCATCCGTCATGGGATCGTGGAGGACTGGGACCTGATGGAGCGCTTCATGGAGCAGATTATCTTCAAGTATCTGCGGGCAGAGCCTGAAGACCATTACTTCCTGTTGGTGAGGTCACATGATCAGACTCCACTCTCGTCATAAAGCACTCACTACAAAGTCACATTTCTAAAGCTGCGTGTTATCTGGAAATAAATGATCATCTTAATTTTGACTCGGCCAAAACACGAGATGCCGTCTGTCAGAATGAATAATATCTGCTCTTCAAAAGGACTTGGGCAAAACTTGTCTTGATCTTAGTCTCATTTAGTCTAACATTTACGATGTTTTTATTTAAAGTAGGTGTTCGTAACTGAATACATAGTTGTTTCTTGTCTCGTAGCATTTTATTGTGTGGTATTCGACCCTTTTTCAATCCATGTTGTTTAATGTAGTTTTAGGCTTCTCTTCACCTGTTGAACTACACTTTCCATCAACATTTATGAGTACGATGTGTAGCTATATACAACATAATCTGTTTACCCACACTCGGGGTGGGCGATGCATACAGTGGGGAAAAAAAGTATTTAGTCAGCCACTGATTGTGCAAGTTCTCCCACTTAAAATAATGACAGAGGTCTGTAATTTTCATCATAGGTTCACTTCAACTGTGAGAGACAGAATGTGAAATGTATTTGTAAATCATGGTGGAAAATAAGTATTTGGTCACTTCAAACAAGGAAGATCTCACACTGGGATGTAGTGTATTGAACAGAAGGTGCTGCTATGAGCTTTGAAGATTCTCATTCTCTATTCTAATGTATTTGTTTTTTGTCTTTGGTGCAGACAGAGCCTCCTCTGAACACTCCGGAGAACAGAGAATACACAGCAGAGATCATGTTTGAGTCCTTCAATGTTCCCGGTCTCTACATCGCTGTGCAGGTACCACCCACACTCAGTCACCAAACACTACTCTGTGCTGTAACGCGTACGTGCTGTAACGCGTACGTGCTGTAACGCGTACGTGCTGTAACGCGTACGTGCTGTAACGCGTACGTGCTGTAACGCGTACGTGCTGTAACGCGTACGTGCTGTAACGCGTACGTGCTGTAACGCGTACGTGCTGTAACGCGTACGTGCTGTAACTAGGGCTGGGCGATATGGCAAAAAAAAAAAAAATCTCCGATTTTTTCACACCAAATCCGATTTTAATCGATTTATCTTTTTCTATTTAAAAACAAACTACAACTGACAAAGAAATAGATTTTCCTTTATGTAGTTTAATCTAAATCCCCATGGAGCATAAGTGTAACAGGAATTAAGCCTTAAAACATGCTTGTAAACGAGATGGCTCTGCCATTGTAAACAGTGAAAATGTAGCTTAACAGTTTTATACATAGTTCCTACATGACGTCACTACATACGGGGATTTGCCGACCTGGCGACATTTGTCTTGGCATGCTGTGGGCAAAACAATAGAAAAAGAAGCTGAAACGTGTTAATGTTGTGATAAAGTTGAAAATGGTCATCTCCTGCTGGGTCAATGGATGTTCAAATCGTGCCGAAGGTTCCGTTAAACTTGGATTTTACAGTATACCCATCATTAGACTTCATGAATGTGAGAAGACTAAGCTTTTGTCAGAACAACCACGGAGGTTATGGCTTGCGAAGATGAACAGGCAAGAAACTCCCTCAAAACACGCAAGAATATGCTCGGAGCACTTTGTGTCAGGTGCGTATCGTATCTTATAATGTGTTGACAGACGTAATTTACTCAGTACTAACTTGTGTATGCTGATATCTGGTAATTGAGAGTTTCATTATTTAGATTACTTTATTATGAGGAGGATCGGTGTCGCGTCCGAGGCTCTCGAGGGCAACGTAAATGTATTAAATAGATAATAATAGTTCTATGGTGGGCTAAAACAATGTTCACAAACAGCATTGCTTCTGTAAAAATCTGTGTCATAAAATAAACTGCTCTTTACGCCTGGAAAAATCAGTTGCCCACCATTCACCAAAACATACGGTCAAAAACGCGGAAATAAAACAATAACAGCAATCCAGAGTGTCCGTGTGGCATTAGCATTAATTAAATTAATTGTTAATATAATTAAAATAATTAAATGGAGCTCCAACTGGTATTAAATCTAAAGTTTTTGAGAAATAGTTTGCATTGCTTGTTATTTTTTGCTGCATAATTTGATCAAATATGTAAAACATGTCCGTAGCACGTTAAACTGTGGTGCCATTGTATTATATACAATTATTTGCTCAAAAGTTGCCCTTTTTTTCCAATTTGCGTTTGAATATCTACATTTATTCTCATTCTTCTGTTTAATGGAATGCACAAACACAGCAGCGTGCCATCAAAGATGGCGTCTCCGAGGAGGTCATGTGACATTCATTGGTCTGTGGGAACTATGTATAATAACTTCACTTACAATGACACTATGCACCTTCAAAATAACTTAAATCACACAAACAAGGCCCATCGCAAATATATCAATCCTATTAAACACATGCATTATTTACATGAAATATCACATTTTTAAAACTGATGACTCAAAATAGAAATGTTGTAACAGACAGTCTTTTCCAAAAGCCTCCTCGGGTTTTCATGCTTGTTCTTTCAACTGTGCCTGAGTAACTGTGCTGTAGTACAACGCTCGGTCCAGCTGGTGGCGCTAATACTAACTTCAGTGACTCCCGCATTGTGCGAGCTTCCTGTTTACATTCTGATGCTGTAGCTAACAGCTACTGTAGCAGCTACTGTAGCTAACAGCTACTGTAGCTAACAGCTACTGTAGCAGCTACTGTAGCTAACAGCTACTGTAGCAGCTACTGTAGCTAACAGCTACTGTAGCTGCTACAGTAGCTAACAGCTACTGTAGCAGCTACTGTAGCTAACAGCTACTGTAGCAGCTACTGTAGCTAACAGCTACTGTAGCAGCTACTGTAGCTAACAGCTACTGTATCGCTACTGTAGCTAACAGCTACAGTAGCTGCTACAGTAGCTAACAGCTACTGTAGCAGCTACTGTAGCTAACAGACAGCGGGGAACACGTTGTTTGTATCAGAGCAATGAGAGCAATGTGTGAGACGTGTCTTTCCCCAAAGTGCAGCGGCTCAGTGGGACACGAGTGTGTGCGCGCCACGGACACGGGAGTGCGCTTTGGAATAACGAGCGTGAGAGAGCGTGGAAAGATGTGGCGTACGAACATGGCGTACGAACATAGCGACCGGGGCTTGCGTGCGCGTGTGTGTGTGTTTTGGCGATTAAATAAAGTCTGATTCTTGAACGTTTGAAGTGTTATTGCAACAGCACCAACTGTGAGAGCGAGCATCAGGCCAGAGGGAGACTGTTAGCATTAGGTTAGCTTCAAAATGACTGCTCAACACCATAGACCCGCGGTTAGCGCGTTAGCGCTGTAGTTCTGCGCTGGAGAAAATAAAAATCGAATTTAAAAAAAAAAGAAATCGCCTTAAACGTAAAACTCGAATTAATGATTAAAATCGATTAATCGCCCAGCCCTAGCTGTAACGCGTACGTGCTGTAACGCGTACGTGCTGTAACGCGTACGTGCTGTAACGCGTACGTGCTGTAACGCGTACGTGCTGTAACGCGTACGTGCTGTAACGCGTACGTGCTGTAACGTGTACGTGCTGTAACGTGTACGTGCTGTAACGCGTACGTGCTGTAACGTGTACGTGCTGTAACGCGTATGTGCTGTACGTGCTGTAACGCGTACGTGCTGTAACGCGTACGTGCTGTAACGCGTACGTGCTGTAACGCGTACGTGCTGTAACGCGTACGTGCTGTAACGCGTACGTGCTGTAACGCGTACGTGCTGTAACGCGTACGTGCTGTAACGCGTACGTGCTGTAACGCGTACGTGCTGTAACGCGTACGTGCTGTAACGCGTACGTGCTGTAACGCGTACGTGCTGTAACGCGTACGTGCTGTAACGCGTACGTGCTGTAACGCGTACGTGCTGTAACGCGTACGTGCTGTACGTGTACGTGCTGTAACCCGTACGTGTACGTGCTGTAACGCGTACGTGCTGTAACGCGTACGTGCTGTAACGCGTACGTGCTGTAACGCGTACGTGCTGTAACGCGTACGTGCTGTACGTGTACGTGCTGTAACCCGTACGTGCTGTAACGCGTACGTGCTGTAACGCGTACGTGCTGTAACGCGTACGTGCTGTAACGCGTACGTGCTGTAACGTGTACGTGCTGTAACGCGTACGTGCTGTAACGCGTACGTGCTGTAACGCGTACGTGCTGTAACGCGTACGTGCTGTAACGCGTACGTGCTGTAACGCGTACGTGCTGTAACGCGTACGTGCTGTAACGCGTACGTGCTGTAACTAGGGCTGGGCGATATGGCAAAAAAAAAAAAATCTCCGATTTTTTCACACCAAATCCGATTTTAATCGATTTATTTTTTTCTATTTAAAAACAAACTACAACTGACAAAGAAATAGATTTTCCTTTATGTAGTTTAATCTAAATCCCCATGGAGCATAAGTGTAACAGGAATTAAGCCTTAAAACATGCTTGTAAACGAGATGGCTCTGCCATTGTAAACAGTGAAAATGTAGCTTAACAGTTTTATACATAGTTCCTACATGACGTCACTACATACGGGGATTTGCCGACCTGGCGACATTTGTCTTGGCATGCTGTGGGCAAAACAATAGAAAAAGAAGCTGAAACGTGTTAATGTTGTGATAAAGTTGAAAATGGTCATCTCCTGCTGGGTCAATGGATGTTCAAATCGTGCCGAAGGTTCCGTTAAACTTGGATTTTGCGTATACCCATCATTAGACTTCATGAATGTGAGAAGACTAAGCTTTTGTCAGAACAACCACAGGCGAAGATGAACAGGCAAGAAACTCCCTCAAAACACGCAAGAATATGCTCGGAGCACTTTGTGTCAGGTGCGTATCGTATCTTATAATGTGTTGACAGACGTAATTTACTCAGTACTAACTTGTGTATGCTGATATCTGGTAACTTGAGAGTTTCATTATTTAGATTACTTTATTATGAGGAGGATCGGTGTCGCGTCCGAGGCTCTCGAGGGCAACGTAAATGTATTAAATAGATAATAATAGTTCTATGGTGGGCTAAAACAATGTTCACAAACAGCATTGCTTCTGTAAAAATCTGTGTCATAAAATAAACTGCTCTTTACGCCTGGAAAAATCAGTTGCCCACCATTCACCAAAACATACGGTCAAAAACGCGGAAATAAACAATAACAGCAATCCAGAGTGTCCGTGTGGCATTAGCATTAATTAAATTAATTGTTAATATAATTAAAATAATTAAATGGAGCTCCAACTGGTATTAAATCTAAAGTTTTTGAGAAATGTTTGCATTGCTTGTTATTTTTTGCTGCATAATTTGATCAAATATGTAAAACATGTCCGTAGCACGTTAAACTGTGGTGCCATTGTATTAATATACAATTATTTGCTCAAAAGTTGCCCTTTTTTTCCAATTTGCGTTTGAATATCTACATTTATTCTCATTCTTCTGTTTAATGGAATGCACAAACACAGCAGCGTGCCATCAAAGATGGCGTCTCCGAGGAGGTCATGTGACATTCATTGGTCTGTGGGAACTATGTATAATAACTTCACTTACAATGACACTATGCACCTTCAAAATAACTTAAATCACACAAACAAGGCCCATCGCAAATATATCAATCCTATTAAACACATGCATTATTTACATGAAATATCACATTTTTAAAACTGATGACTCAAAATAGAAATGTTGTAACAGACAGTCTTTTCCAAAAGCCTCCTCGGGTTTTCATGCTTGTTCTTTCAACTGTGCCTGAGTAACTGTGCTGTAGTACAACGCTCGGTCCAGCTGGTGGCGCTAATACTAACTTCAGTGACTCCCGCATTGTGCGAGCTTCCTGTTTACATTCTGATGCTGTAGCTAACAGCTACTGTAGCAGCTACTGTAGCTAACAGCTACTGTAGCTAACAGCTACTGTAGCAGCTACTGTAGCTAACAGCTACTGTAGCAGCTACTGTAGCTAACAGCTACTGTAGCAGCTACTGTAGCTAACAGCTACTGTAGCAGCTACTGTAGCTAACAGCTACTGTAGCAGCTACTGTAGCTAACAGCTACAGTAGCTGCTACAGTAGCTAACAGCTACTGTAGCAGCTACTGTAGCTAACAGACAGCGGGGAACACGTTGTTTGTATCAGAGCAATGAGAGCAATGTGTGAGACGTGTCTTTCCCCAAAGTGCAGCGGCTCAGTGGGACACGAGTGTGTGCGCGCCACGGACACGGGAGTGCGCTTTGGAATAACGAGCGTGAGAGAGCGTGAAAGATGTGGCGTACGAACATGGCGTACGAACATAGCGACCGGGGCTTGCGTGCGCGTGTGTGTGTGTTTTGGCGATTAAATAAAGTCTGATTCTTGAACGTTTGAAGTGTTATTGCAACAGCACCAACTGTGAGAGCGAGCATCAGGCCAGAGGGAGACTGTTAGCATTAGGTTAGCTTCAAAATGACTGCTCAACACCATAGACCCGCGGTTAGCGCGTTAGCGCTGTAGTTCTGCGCTGGAGAAAATAAAAATCGAATTTAAAAAAAAAAGAAATCGCCTTAAACGTAAAACTCGAATTAATGATTAAAATCGATTAATCGCCCAGCCCTAGCTGTAACGCGTACGTGCTGTAACGCGTACGTGCTGTAACGCGTACGTGCTGTAACGCGTACGTGCTGTAACGCGTACGTGCTGTAACGTGTACGTGCTGTAACGTGTACGTGCTGTAACGTGTACGTGCTGTAACGTGTACGTGCTGTAACGCGTACGTGCTGTAACGTGTACGTGCTGTAACGCGTATGTGCTGTACGTGCTGTAACGCGTACGTGCTGTAACGCGTACGTGCTGTAACGCGTACGTGCTGTAACGCGTACGTGCTGTAACGCGTACGTGCTGTAACGCGTACGTGCTGTAACGCGTACGTGCTGTAACGCGTACGTGCTGTAACGCGTACGTGCTGTAACGCGTACGTGCTGTAACGCGTACGTGCTGTAACGCGTACGTGCTGTAACGCGTACGTGCTGTAACGCGTACGTGCTGTAACGCGTACGTGCTGTAACGCGTACGTGCTGTACGTGTACGTGCTGTAACCCGTACGTGCTGTACGTGTACGTGCTGTAACGCGTACGTGCTGTAACGCGTACGTGCTGTAACGCGTACGTGCTGTAACGCGTACGTGCTGTAACGCGTACGTGCTGTACGTGTACGTGCTGTAACCCGTACGTGCTGTAACCCGTACGTGCTGTAACGCGTACGTGCTGTAACGCGTACGTGCTGTAACGCGTACGTGCTGTAACGCGTACGTGCTGTAACGCGTACGTGCTGTAACGCGTACGTGCTGTAACGCGTACGTGCTGTAACGCGTACGTGCTGTAACGCGTACGTGCTGTAACGCGTACGTGCTGTAACGCGTACGTGCTGTAACGCGTACGTGCTGTAACGCGTACGTGCTGTAACGCGTACGTGCTGTAACGCGTACGTGCTGTAACGCGTACGTGCTGTAACGCGTACGTGCTGTAACGCGTACGTGCTGTAACGCGTACGTGCTGTACGTGCTGTAACGCGTACGTGCTGTACGTGCTGTAACGCGTACGTGCTGTACGTGCTGTAACGCGTACGTGCTGTACGTGCTGTAACGCGTACGTGCTGTAACGCGTACGTGCTGTAACGCGTACGTGCTGTAACGCGTACGTGCTGTAACGCGTACGTGCTGTAACGCGTACGTGCTGTACGTGCTGTAACGCGTACGTGCTGTAACGCGTACGTGCTGTACGTGTACGTGCTGTACGTGCTGTAACGCGAACGTGCTGTAACGTGTACGTGCTGTACGTGCTGTAACGTGTACGTGCTGTAACGCGTACGTGCTGTACGTGCTGTAACGCGTACGTGCTGTAACGCGTACGTGCTGTAACGCGTACGTGCTGTAACGCGTACGTGCTGTACGTGCTGTAACGCGTACGTGCTGTAACGTGTACGTGCTGTAACGCGTACGTGCTGTAACGCGTACGTGCTGTAACGCGTACGTGCTGTACGTGTACGTGCTGTAACGTGTACGTGCTGTAACGTGTACGTGCTGTAACGTGTACGTGCTGTACGTGTACGTGCTGTAACGTGTACGTGCTGTAACCCGTACGTGCTGTAACGTGTACGTGCTGTAACGTGTACGTGCTGTAACGCGTACGTGCTGTAACGCGTACGTGCTGTAACGCGTACGTGCTTTAACGCGTACGTGCTGTAACGCGTACGTGCTGTAACGCGTACGTGCTGTAACGCGTACGTGCTGTAACGCGTACGTGCTGTAACGCGTACGTGCTGTAACGCGTACGTGCTGTAACGCGTACGTGCTGTAACGCGTACGTGCTGTAGCGCGTACGTGCTGTAGCGCGTACGTGCTGTATGTGTACGTGCTGTAACGCGTACGTGCTGTAACGCGTACGTGCTGTAACGCGTACGTGCTGTAACGCGTACGTGCTGTAACGCGTACGTGCTGTAACGCGTACGTGCTGTAACGCGTACGTGCTGTAACGCGTACGTGCTGTACGTGCTGTAACGCGTACGTGCTGTAACGCGTACGTGCTGTAACGCGTACGTGCTGTAACGCGTACGTGCTGTACGTGTACGTGCTGTAACGCGTACGTGCTGTAACGCGTACGTGCTGTACGTGTACGTGCTGTAACGCGTACGTGCTGTACGTGTACGTGCTGTAACGCGTACGTGCTGTAACGCGTACGTGCTGTAACGCGTACGTGCTGTAACGCGTACGTGCTGTAACGCGTACGTGCTGTAACGCGTACGTGCTGTAACGCGTACGTGCTGTAACGCGTACGTGCTGTAACGCGTACGTGCTGTAACGCGTACGTGCTGTAACGCGTACGTGCTGTAACGCGTACGTGCTGTAACGCGTACGTGCTGTACGTGCTGTAACGCGTACGTGCTGTACGTGCTGTAACGCGTACGTGCTGTAACGCGTACGTGCTGTGACCCCCCGACTCCACCGGGCGCGTCTCCGTTGACGCGCGTTGGCTGCTGTCCGTCAGCCGTCCGTAAAACGGACCAGTGGTCAAACCGGCTGCAGCAGCATGCAACTCTGGCTGTGCGTTTATCAGCCTGCTTTATTTTTGTAGGAGACATGTTTGGGCATTGTGTGAATGAATGAATGTTTGGCTGATGGAGGAGTTATGTATTGTCGGCGTGCATGTGTGCGTGAGCGTGTGCGTGAGAGCGCCCGTGTGTGTGTGTGTGTGTGTGTGTGTGTGGTGGGAGGCGTGTGCGTGCATGTGTGTTTGGGTCTGTGACTGCAGCGTTTATTATGATCCAGCCTCTTCGTTTGTTTTCTACTTATTTAGCGCATGATACACTTTTATCGGAGCCAACTCGCCTCTCTGCGGCTTTAGGCAACAGGCAGAGCTATAGTTTTAAATAGAAGAAGCGGTGTGTGATTTGAATGAGCTGTGGCTATGATCAGTGCAAAGCACAGCATATTGAAGCATTGAGGACGTCGTGATGGATGAGGCAAAACTTATTGAAAGCAATTGGAAAAAGGGGAGAGAGAAAAGAACTCCAACATATCCAGTGTTGTGAGATCTGTCTCTCATAAGTGCAGCTCTGTGTGTGTGTGTCTGTCTGTCTGTCTGTCTGTCTGTCTGTCTGTCTGGGAGCGCGCGGCGGTGAGGAGAGAGCGCCTCGGAGGTAGACGGGACAGAAGAGCGAGGTTTATGTAAAGATTAACATTACGCGAAAAATAAATGGTAGATTTACGATCAGGAAACAATTATTTAAATTAATACATGAAAAACATTACACACGTTTGTTAATAATCATTGTCATTAACAAATACTTATAACCAAGGACTACAGCATATATCAATACATGTTTAACAATGTTGTAAATATATTATTCCATTGCATTTTCAATGGAAAACGGACCCGACACGCGTCGACGGACGGAACAAATAGGATTGTTTCTATTTCGTCCGTCCACGTCTTTTGCACCCTCCGTTGACGGAATAGGTCCGACGTGCGTTGGACGGACGCATGCGGAGGCAGTGGAGCCACTTCCATTCACTCTCATGGAGATAACGGAGACGGAGATGAAACGGACATGTTTGGACGGATCCGTCGTCCGTTTTACGCGCCCGGTGGAGTCGGGGCCTAACGCGTACGTGCTGTAACGCGTACGTGCTGTAACGCGTACGTGCTGTAACGCGTACGTGCTGTAACGCGTACGTGCTGTAACGCGTACGTGCTGTAACGCGTACGTGCTGTAACGTGTACGTGCTGTAACGTGCTAACGCGTCCTGTGTAAATCAGCAGTGAGACATATACCACATGTCACCAAAGGACCCAAATAGTCACATAAACGTTCCTAGTGTTTTGAAACGGGGTGACCGCTTGATAACAAACACGTGTCCTCTTGAGTAAACTGTGGTGTTGTGTGAAGGCCGTGCTGGCGTTGGCCGCATCCTGGACGTCCCGTCAGGTGGGAGAGAGGACTCTGACCGGGACCGTGATCGACAGCGGAGATGGGGTCACACACGTCATCCCTGTGGTACGCACACACAGACGCACACGCACACACACACACACATTATAGATTTTATTTATAATGCACCAGGAATCCATACAAACATACATTTTGTTGTCAAATCGTGACTCGTCTCTGGCCCCCATGGAAAGGCCCTGTGTACAGACGGTACCAGCATTTCCTCTCAATATAAATCTATAGTATATTTGCCGGTGTTTTGATCAAATCTGCAAATTTGTTTTTTTCCTGAGGAATCTTTTAACCAAAAACTCATTGATAATTGTGGAGTATTATTATATATTAACACATTTTGAAGTATTTCTCGATGTTCACGTGCTGCTCAGATGTTCGTGGCTCAGAAGTGACGCTGTCTCTGTGTCCAGGCCGAGGGCTACGTCATCGGCAGCTGCATAAAGCACATCCCCATCGCCGGCCGGGACATCACCTACTTCATCCAGCAGCTGCTGCGGGAGCGAGAGGTGGGCATCCCCCCGGAGCAGAGCCTGGAGACCGCCAAGGCCGTCAAAGAGCGCTACAGCTACGTGTGTCCCGACCTGGTCAAGGAGTTCCAGAAGTACGACACAGACGGCTCCAAGTGGATCAAGCAGTTCAGCGGCGTCAACGCCATCACCAAGAAGGAGTTCAACATCGACGTGGGCTACGAGCGCTTCCTGGGGCCAGAGATCTTCTTCCACCCAGAGGTACGGGCCAAATACTCCTTCAGAGTTAAATCCACCACAACTTAAGTCAGACGTGTGAGATCACTTTGAGAATCCAAAATATGAGCAAAGTGTTGTTGCCAATACTTCAATCACAACATCTTCAGGTAATCCTCCTTTGCTGTTTGTCCGAGTCACGGTAAAGTACTGCATCATTGTCCATAAAGTTCTAAATCTTCAGAAATACGCTCAAAAACTGTCCCAGTGTAAACATTAATGCAAAGGATTCTGCAAATGTGAAAGTTACACTGGTGAAAACACTGCTCATGTGCTGGAGACGCTCTTAAAGGGACAGTGCGCACCTGGACTACAACTATGAAGATGGCTGCTACTACAAAACAATCAGGCTTCATACATTCCTGAATTTATCGCAATTTTTTCTCACAATAATCATGACTCAAAAAATTGAAATCGTGGCAACCCTACTGCTAGCTCAATGAAGCCCAATAGGGAAGAACTCATGGACAAACAATTCTATTCAATGTATTCTTGCCTCCAGTAGCAAAGGAATCTCTGCTCCTGTAGGCACTGGAACACAAGCCCATCCAGTCAGCTCATGTTTACATCTTTTTTTTACCCCCAGTGCTGTGAAAATATCACCAAAATGTCTGTATTTTTGTTGTGGTAAGAGTATTAGTAATGAGTTGTTCAGTAGCTACAGGACGTTCATTTATAGTTAAAAAAGACTGGAAGCTACCAGTTTTTAATCCCGCTGTTGATCTACTTAATTACAACATGAAAACAATTATATTCAAGTTCAGTTTATATGTTGGCAGAGTATGTGGTGAGGCTTGTGTACAAATGTCCTTATAGTCCAGAAAGTGCGGCACATGGTTCTATTTGTGGTGATTTTTAAAGTTGGGGACCCAGCTTTATGAATGTGCTTTAAGAGGATCCTTCTGCTCTCAGTTTGCCAACCCGGACTTCACTCAGCCCATCTCTGAGGTGGTGGACGAGGTGATCCAGAACTGCCCCATAGACGTGCGCCGACCCCTGTACAAGGTAACGCGCAAACATGCACAGACACGCAAACATGCACAGACACGCAAACATGCACAGACACGCAAACATGCACAGACACGCAAACATGCACAGACACGCAAACATGCACAGACACGCAAACATGCACAGACACGCAAACATGCACAGACACGCAAACATGCACAGACACGCAAACATGCACAGACACGCAAACATGCACAGACACGCAAACATGCACAGACACGCAAACATGCACACGCAATCATGCACACGCAAACATGCACAGACACGCAAACATGCACAGACACGCAAACATGCACAGACACGCAAACATGCACACGCAAACATGCACAGACACGCAAACATGCACAGACACGCAAACATGCACAGACACGCAAACATGCACAGACACGCAAACATGCACAGACACGCAAACATGCACAGACACGCAAACATGCACAGACACGCAAACATGCACACGCGCAAACATGCACAGACGCGCAAACATGCACACGCGCAAACATGCAGACACGCAAACATGCACATATGCAAACACACACACGCAAACATGCACATATGCAAACACACATACGCAAACACGCACACGCAAACATTCACAGACACACACACACTCAAACATGCAGACAC